TAAGGATTTATGTGAAGTAATAGTAATGGTTTCACATTGTATGACCAGCAGTAGTTAACTACTTTATTTAAACCGTAACTGTTATCATCTTGTTTAACATGTACTTACTAAATTCGAAACAAAAATGCATCGGACGGTCTTTAATTAAAGAAAATATTTCAAAATTAAGTATTTCATGCAGACAGAAAACTTACTGTAAACACGTATTTTTTAACTATACTGCAATTGTTCGAATAGAATAATACAGAAAAGTTGCTTATACAACAGAAACACTGTCCATATATAGTGTAACTTACTCAAACATTTATTATAATAATACAAGATACTAAGTTTAACATTCACAACAAACATTCGAAGAAAAAAGTGGTTGTAAAATTATTTTGAAACAATCACTCCCCGTTTACTAAACGCTTTGAAAATCGTCCGTTCATTATATAAACCGGAGGATGACGGAACACGATATTCACAGAAACAAAATTATTGTTATTTATTGTCAGCAGTAAGTTTTATTTTTAATCATTCTGTTTATAATCGATTATTATCAATTCAATAATAATTATTGAATACAAGTACCCATTGCGTGTTTCTATCTGAAAATTACCGAATGACGGAGACGCATAGTTCGCATTAAATTGTTTAACTGGAGTATGTAACAAGTATACATCTCATGTGCCACTTGTTAACCGCAGTTTGCTGAATAATGCCAGTGTTGTCAATGTATTGCATTTCAGATCGTACATAGTTCTAAAGGGTTAACGATGTGATAAAAATGCAAGGAAAAATATATTTCTTTACCTTTTTTTTCAAAGTTTGCTGATACGATATGATTCATTTAGTTGCATACTTAATAATGTATATATTTATACTACTTTTTTTCTTTAAATCATACAAATCAACAGTAAAACTATACAAATAATGAAAACATTAGTCAATAAAGATGTCCATACATACTTGCCATCTGAATGGTATCCCCAGGAATATTGGCCTACGCCCGGTAGAAGATTGTCAGGATAGTCTTTTGGCACTACACCAATAGCTAGAATATAAATATTATACTACACGTTCTTTTTTATTTTGTTTAAGTAACGGAAGTAAACATTTCAATTTAGATTAAGAAGTGTTAATAAAAACTAATCTAACTTTTCATTTATGGTAAAAAAAATCTATTTAAAAAAGAAATAACCATGAACAATATTTGAATTAAAATGACAAAAAGTCTGGACATAACATTGGAAGGAAAAATAAGTTATGTAAAATATAATGTTTTTAATGTATATACATAAAATGTAACAAGAGAATAATTGCCGTAGTAGCAAAGATCGTAATGACGTGATCGTTTGTTGATATGAGTCATTAGGAAATACATATTGAAAATGTACAAACTGACTTTACACGCCGGGTGAATATTTTAACAATAAGTATATTAATGTTACCTAAAGACCCGCTTTTGTCCATGCTTAATATCTCAATTTCAAACTCTTCGCTAGTGTACACATTCGGCTTGAACACATACAATCCAATACCATTACTTTCGTATGTTGCATAGCTGTAAAAATAAACGTGAAACCATATTATTGTAATGCGTACATTTGTTACAAGTCTAAAGAAAGAATGTAATAGTTAATTATTCTGATTGCATTTGAAATTATTGTATGGCAGGTGTTTTAAACCATGCATTTTCGCTGGTATATCAAGTATCGTTACTTTTTAGTATTTTCTTTTTTTAATATGATGAAAATGTTACGTTGGTTATTTTACAAGTTAATATAAATTGATGATGATTATCTTGTCATAATAATTCTTCACGATGATTAATTAAATTTGTAATGTAAACCTGATAATAGTATTTGTATAGCAATACCTTATGTCTATATTATTCAATAAAAAAAGAAATAAATATATAACTATAAACTCGGTATTGCTATTTTCCTGTTTAGAGCTTATATAATTAGATAACGTATATCATATACATTTTCATATCACTTTTAAACATAACTTTGTATAATCATGTGAAATTTCTAAATCGCAACATAAATGAATTTTATGTGTCATAAAATTATTTATATGCAAGACAACATAATTTCTTAATATCATTCACTTTTGTTTTCTGTAAATCCGCATACATCATATACACTGCAGATAGAGGTCCGCATACCGGAGTTTCGTTACCGACAAATAAACGGTGCATTTATCATGTTTATAATTAGCCTACGTCACTTCGCGTACCCCAGTGAACAAAGAAACTCGCATTTGCTTTTCTCTCTATCAAATTTGTGTATAACTTTTGTTTTTCTACATTTTCAATTAAATAATCAGCGGAATATAATCATCGGCGTGTTTGTGTATTACATGTTACCGTGTTTACGTGGATATAAACTTATTTAGACTGCTAGTGAAGGATTGTAATCATTGTTGTCGACCAAAATTTTCAAACAGAGGAAGTAGGTCAACGGAGACGCTGAACAGCTACAATTATGCCAACAACAAAGGTCTTGTTATATGGTCATTCATTTGTGTCTCATTTAAAACTTTTCATTCGGAATGAACATGATCTTTCGTATTCATTTAAGGTACATCAAACTTGTGAATGTGCTACTCCTCAACATTAAATGGCAGTTGCTGAATTGCAAAATAGAGAAGAGTATTGAGTAAAAAAAGTTTAATTTTAATAAATATATAGGGATATGTCATCATTGGAGTAACTTATTTATTCAAAAATTAAAATATGACAGTGTTGCAAAAGTTTGAAACTGAAAATTACACACATACTGCTATGTCAAAATTTGGTTTAATTACTAAGTATTAGATACAAATTCTTTCATAAACATTAAGTCAATATATCAAATTAGTGCACCCAAATGTTAAATTTCGGTTAAATAACCTCCTTTACGTATTCCAAACTTTTCACGTGCTTCGGCATATATTTTTGACCCGCCATTTTATCAAATGTGTCTGTTTTTTCGTCGTTTTTTCCCAAAGGATATTCTTCTTATGCTTCGCTTTTTTAAATAAATTAAAACTGATTAATATTCCCATGAACAAAAATATTCATACACCATACCTAAATACACAGAATTTCATTTCGATCGCTTTATACCTGACATAGTAATATCTTTCTTGTATTTATTTACATTTTTCGGCTTTCTGTTGACCGCATAACGAAAGGAAGTAAAAAATATTCATACACTGAAGTAGACCTGACCTGAAAGATCGGGTAATTTTGGCGCATATTAAGGAAAATGACATTTCTTTTATTGTTTTGTTTTCGTCTTTGTTAAAAAATATCAATATAACAAACGTATTTCAAATACACGCATTATATCATGGAACTTTGAACAATCGCGTACGTTCTTTTAATTCCGTACAATTGGGCGGATATGGATTTCGTATGGTTACCCCAATGTCGTGCGCGGTACGATAACTATAGTTTGTTAGAATGGGTACCAACTAATTAAACATGGCGGAATTGTAGACACGTTGTGGCGGAAAATCTTGTTTTCAACTTGTATTGAGTTATTACCGGTAAGATCAGATGTATTAAGTATAATTTATACACTGGTACTTTATTCACTTTCTTTATTCCATAAATTGTTATACCGATCGGCCAAGTTGTACGATGATTTAGCATTTACAAATAAGTAACTTTCGTTTTCATTCAACAAAATGTAAACAAAAACAACAGGTTCTCGAATGCCCTGTAAAAACAATTTTATGAATTGTATTTTATTTCTTCTGAATAATTATGCAAGTGTAATATTATAATTAAGTTTTGAAGGTAAGTAAGCCCGAAATCTGTATTGTTTTACAAAAATATTTTTCAAACTAATGAAGCGTGAAATGACATGAATGAAAGTGGATATACAAGTAACGCGCTATGGTGTACTGATGTGCTCCAAATTCCTGGAATTTAATTTTTAAATATATTTTATGGAATTTATTTCAATTGTTGTGTCTGTGTATTCTTTAATTTGGAAATATTTTATACTTGTATAACTTGTGGTGAACATATAGCTTGAAAATAAAGGAAATATTGTAGTGGCACAAGAAAGTTTTAATCCACCAGGATGGGTAATAAAAGAAATCAGAAAGGGAAAAGACAAGTTTTTAATAAGGCCACTGGAATTCATAGTTTGAAATATAGAAGGAAAATTGTCATTAAAGATGAAAAATTGAGAAGAAAATTTAGGAATATTAAACATGTGGACCCATTCTATATTAGGCAGAAAAAACAAGGTTTGAAATTTACACTTAGTAAAATTATTATTCAGAGAGCTAGAAAATTCAAATGTTTGCTCGATAAAGAAAAAGAAAGACTGTATATAACATCATTGAAAGATAATTTAGAAGGTAGTAGAATCATTAACATGCATAAACTTAAAAATCACATTTTAGAAATAACTTCACATGCCGCTCTATGCACTGAAGCTCACATGAAAGCCCTTTCAAATGACAATGTTATTGTCCTGGAAAGTGAGAAAAGGAACGGTTTTTATACCATCATCACCTGTAAATGCCAAGGATGTGGTAAGACATTTGAACTGGAAAATAGTGATAAGTTTGGATATACAAATATGGTTGATATCAATGTTCGTTCAGTTTGGGGTAGCATGGTAACAGGAGGAGGTTGCTCTTCGCTCAATGAGTGTTTTGGAAGTATAGGAATTCCAGGCATTACTGAAAAAAAGTACTCTTCAATTGAGAATGAGATTGGACATATGTGGAAGTCCCTTCTTGATGAAGAACTTGTGAAAGCAGGTCAGGAAGAGCGTGCATTGGCAGAGGAAAATGACGAATATTTTCAAGGTATTCCAGCAATAACTGTTATATGTGATGGAGGCTGGAGTAATCGAAGTCACAAACATAGCTACAATGCCATGGCTGGAGTTGCTGTCGTTTTCGGGGCTAGAACAAAGAAACTTCTGCATGTAGGTATCAGAAATAAAATTTGTTACATATGTAGCCGTGCTGAGACTGTAAATGAACCATGCCACTAAATGCCTTAGATCTAATTTAGAACGTTTAATATCTGAAAAGCCACATTATAAAGGAAAAGGTAAACTCATGAGAAATAACATTAGAAGAATTTGTTCTGGAGTAAGATGCGCTATTGTAATGCGAAGTTCTGAACCCAATAAAATGACAGCAATTAAAAAACTTAAACAGGATATACGGAATGCCGGGAGACATGTCCTTGGCTTACATGATTTATGTTCCACAGATTTTTGTAAAAATAAGGAGAAAGATACAGACATAACAAAATCAAATGATAATAAAATGGAAAATAGCAATAATGATGAAGAAGATATCATAATAAGCCAATGCGAGTACTGGACTGATTCTGTAAAAAAATATTCTGAAAGTGAAATTGAAATGTTAAGAAAGGGCGGTAAGACAATATCACCGAAAAATTTTAATATTGAAGAGTTGTTAAGAGACATTTTTCTATTTCTGAATCGTCTATCTGAAAAGGCAAACCGTTTGATTGGTAACTTTACAAGTAATTTAGCCGAGTCCTGGATGAGCATTAAATGTAAATTTGAAGGGGGTAAAATGTTCAATAAATGCTTCCGTGGTTCATTTTACGCAAGATGTTATGGTGGAGCGTTGAGGTCTTTGCTAGGTCCAGCATGGTCACCACAAGTTTACAATCAACTTACAGGTAAACGCCCTGACAGAGTTTTTATTAACACTTATAGACAAAGGTTTGTACGCTACAGATGTACCAAACGTGCCAAAGGTAGTGAAATAAACAGGAACAAAAGGAAATTGAAGAAAATGAAAGCATCTGTTGAAAGCAGCAGTAAGAAAGCAAGAAAAGAATATGGCGAAACTGTGCTGCAAGATACAGCTGATATCAGTCCATCACAATTAAAAAAGGAATGTGATACGTTTTATAAATCAACAATATCTACATGCAATAGTAAATTAATTGAACAGCATACACGTGGTCAGTCAAGTAATATTAACTGGTTTGCTGAAAGAAAGAAAAGACTCACAAGTTCTGTATTTGGAGAAGTGATGTCAAGATCACAAAATAATAACCGTCCCAATTTAGTGAAAAGGCTTTTGTATTCCAACTTTAAAGGAAACATGTATACTTTGAAAGGGTTAAGTGAAGAGGATAATGCAAGAATTGAATACATTAATTTGAAAGAAAAAGAAGAAAATCTTAAATACAAAATTGATATTCCGGGTCTAATTGTTGACAAACTGAATCCTTATTTAGCAGCCTCCAGCGATGGTGTCGTAGTTGGATCCAAAGGTCCTGAAGGTCTCATTGAAATTAAAACTTTATTACAGAACAAAAAAGCAATGATCAAAGAATCAGCAGAAAATGATAAAGCCTTTTGTTTGTCAGTGCAGAATGGCATTATTCAACTGAAAAAAAATCATAAATATTTTTATCAAATACAAGGTCAGATGAATATTATGAATTTCAAATGGTGTGATCTAATAATTCGAAGAGTAAATCCACATGATATGTTTATTCAGCGCATATACTGTGATACAGAATTATGGAGAAATGTTATGATTCCCAAATTAAAGGCTTTCTATTTCACCCACATGCTACCTGAATTAGCAGTTCCAAGACATGGTACTCTATCTGGAATAAGAAAACCTGAATTACCATGGGTATGTTCCCCATAAATGTAATACTCATTTTTTATAATAACAATGTTTTTGTTTTTTTCAGCATATTTACATGTGCTTACATATATATCATCATATATAATAAATTACCATGTATAATAATAAAAATATATTTATTGTAACTTGTATCTTTTGTGTAATCCTTCATTTTTATATTTTACAGTTTTGTGGTACATCCTGCAAGAGATCAGAGAAAAAGAACTGTAAGAGAATTGAAGGTGACAAATTGGACTAAAAAGACTCACATACTCAGATTAAGACAGACACAGATATTTACATTGCAACCCCATTAATACCAACACCAACACAATCAAGTAAAAGGTGATTTATTTTAATGTATATATAACTATATATAATTAAGATCTTTAAAGAATTCTGTTAAATAGGAAATATTACCAATTTGCACTCTTTTAACAGCTGTAAATTTGTTTAGGAAATACCAATATGCAGAAAACATGAAAGTGTTCTTTAAAGGCAGGTGGTCTTAAGTAACAGGTAATTTTGTTTCTTACATTATGGAAAGGGACAGTTGAAATGTACTTTTTAAGTACAGTTGGTATCTAGCAGTATTAATGTTTAGATTGCTCTGTATACATGTATAAAGAAGTATTTTTAAATTTTTAATGATGTTTAGAATTTTCAATATACCCTTATTTGAATTTTATAATTTTTGAATGAAGCTGTTATATTAATTTATGTTCATGTACTTTTTCACTGTGTACTGTAACACAAATGTTGACAAAATATTGTGCATTACATGCAATCCTTTCCTATCATGATGGTTATAAACATATATTATTGCCTTTATACACTATAAGCAACTGTAAATTGTTCTCAAATTAACTTTTGTTTACTATTTTTAAACATTAATTTGGCATAACATCCAAATATAATTTGGCATAACATCCAAATAAATGAGCAAATTTAACTTGCAACTTTATTTTAAGTTTAAAAATGGCTAAAAATTATAAATATTTATTTCAGATTTTAAGTGCCTTCAACATGTATTTGAAAAGGATAGTTGATATTTTTTTATACAAATTTGCAGATCAACACGTTTGAGAAAATTAAAATTCCTTGGAAGGAGAATCAACCACCAGTGGACAGAATCAGATGGCTCTCTGAATTGGTACAAAGGCACCGTGCTTTCTGTTTCTTCTGGAAAAGACGGAAATCCTGATGCAGTATATGAGGTGCTATATGAAGGCGAAGACGCGTCATATGAAGTAGATTCTTTGATCAAAGACTATAATGAAGGCACCTTAACTTTCATAGATTTGTAATGGTATACTTTATTTCTCTTCCAATTTACATTATACCATGTACTGTATGTTTTTATATTTAAAAATTGATTTTAAAAAATATTTAAATAACATTATGCATAATATCTTTTTAATGTTAACATCATATTACAACAGCTTTGAATGTAATTAATCCTATATAATAATTTACAGTTTCTGATTTTATGGTTTTTATGTTTAATTAATTTTGCAAGAAGGTCATGTTTCAATTCATTTTAATGAATTATTACAAGAAGGAATATTATCCTGCTTATCTTATGGATTATTGCAGTAAATTTTTTTATAAGTAAGCCATGTCCATAATAGTACACCATACTTAACCTTGCACTACTTTTGTGTACATGCTATGTAAACATTGGACTTAGATAATGCTGTGTTTACTGGCCTTATTGGAATATAAATTTTCAATTGATAAATAATTTTTTCAGGTAATGGAGATTCAGTGTCACTAAAATAGATGTTACTTTAAAAGTTTTCATTCATCATATCACATATTTATCATTGGAAGGAACATTATTTTGACATACAAGTTACTAAGGGTGTAACGGTTTACCGGTATACCGATATATTGCAATATGAAAAAATAAATTTCGAACCGCGGTACGATTTTTGGAAAACCGGTATTTTATAAAAATCATCATTTTCAATTAATTGCCTTCTAATTTTGTACAAATTCACATAAAATCTTTAATTGGCAAATTTTGTTGGCACCAACGTAAGATAAAAGTATCCGACAACTAGTACACTTGAAAGTCAATAAGCGGCCACATAATTTACATAAGCCGCCCAGATGTGAAAGGTCACACGCGACTAGTTTTGTTGATCAAATTGTGTGACACTACTTTCTATTTATTCCTTACATTTTTATTAAGTTTCTACTAAAAATATATACATATAATAATAATATATAAATGTTACTCCATCTTTACATCAAAACATATACACGACAATACGTATTGCAATATATTGCAATACGCTTCAGCAAAATGGCAATATATTGCAATACAGTTTTTGCTGTATTGTTACACCCCTACAAGTTACATGTGCTGCAAACTGATTCAGGTAAGGCTTTTGCTTTTATTTTATTTTTTTTTTATTTTTAGGCAATGTAACAGCTTCTTTATAGGAAAAGGATTAATGCCTCAACATTTTCCTTTTGAAATGTACCTCACAATACTTCAGTTGAAAGTTTTAATTTTTGACCTAAAATTTTCAACAAAACAATATGGCTGCCATTTGATGCACCTTAATTTGGACCCAGCTCATTACATGGTGCAGTTTTCTGCATTCCCAGGATCAACCGTGTCGAAATTGGATCGAAGCAGCTTGTTGGAAATTGTGAAGGATTTTGAACCTGACATTGTGTTTTTAATGATAGGAACGTGTGACCTTTATCAAACAGGCAGTTACCCAGAACGTATAGCACAGGACATCTGCACTCTAACGAACAACTGCACAACGTGTACAAAGTGAAATATGTGGTCGTTCTACAAACATTACACAGAATACCCCCACGTGTTTTTTTTAAATATCCGGTGGACTGCATATCGTTTAACAGTCATGTTGACATATTCAACCATCATTTACATTCCCATTTGCCAAAAGGGTACTCCAGATTGTTGCGATTAAAAGGCTTTTGGACAGAAACAAGTCAACAGAGGGTATTTGCTGCAGACGGCACACACTTATCTCCCCTAGGGAACAGAAAACTGTACAACAATGTTAGAGCAGCCATTATCAGTGTAACAAAGGATTTATAAATCAAGATACGTATATATTCCATACACTGCTAGATTTTCACTTTAAATGTCTTATCTCTTAAGGCTTATATTGTCTTTATCAAATCATTAATCATTAGGATTTGAAACTGTATGGCAATAGCTACATGTACATAGAAAATGTTTATATTTTCTAGAGGCTTGCATACATGTACTAGCTTAAAATTCCACAAGGAAAGTTTATCATGTAAATGTTTATATTTTCTAGAGGCTTACATACATGTACTAGCTTAAAATTCCACAAGGAAATTTTATCTCATGATCCGTATTTTTCAGTTTAAGTATATGCATATTTTATTTCATTTCAGTGCAGTCATACAGCATTTATTTATTATATCTTCTGATGTTCTAGATTCCCTCAAGGATTTATTTTACCTTTGGAATCTAATGATCCAGAACTTTTTAGTTAAGCACTATAGTAGGAGTGTTTTAGACGGACAATATTTCAGTACAGTTTATAAATTTGATGAGCCAGATTTTGCCCTTGGGCTGGTCCGATGTTCCAATATAGTAACAGATTATGCCTGATGGCGATGATTACATTTACTCTATAGTAACGGAGTATGCCTTATGGCGATGATTAACACTATAATAACAGTGTTGTGGTGCAGTATTTATAACAAGTGTATATATTTTTTGATGATCCAAATCAATTGATAGGCAATTTTTTCCTAATTCGGTCTGATGTTCTAAAAATGTTCTACTTTCTATTACAGGGTATATGTATAATGTACATAACTCAAGAAATATAAAATATAATTATCAAATTTCGGGAACGACAAACATATATTAAAGTTAATATAATAATTTACATTAATTGTCATTGTTTTTACACAAATATCATATGAATCAATTGATACATCTTTGTAGTGGTACTGCTTTTTACTACTTATCAAATATACTGTATTATACATGAATATTCATATAGTATACCTAAAGAGGGTTTTCTTTAATAGTCTTATAAGATATAAATTTGTTCTTTGTTTTAATTTTTTATAAATTTTTGTAGGTAAAACGGACCCGGTCAGGCATGAAGGCTAGTACAGCAGCCTCTGATAGCCAAGCTCAGAAAAGAAAATCAACTAAAATACAGACAAAACTGGGACAGAGAAACTCTTTCTCTACCAATGTTAAATCGCATTTAAAAACTGGAACTAAAATCGGTACAATTAATAGAAACAGAAGACCACCCCTCCCAGAAAGAAGGCTCAGAGTAAGAACCAATCAATGCCGGAAGACCCCACGGAAAATGATATCTCAGATGAAGTTGACCAAGAATCCTCAACTTTCTGTGATGGTTCAGATTCAGACATGGATGATGTCACTTTTAGTCAAATAACGGCAAATCACACAAATAATTTTTTTCAAAATGGTGGGTATGATGGCACTCTTCTAAACACGCCCATTTCTACCCCAATTTCCCCACAGATTAACAAAAAATTAAAGAAAAAAATTTGGTCTGACACATACATTGATATGGCAGACCTTCTACCAATGCAAACCTCATCCACCAATACCAATCAATTTACGCTTCAAATAACGTAAGCCTACCCCCTCTCACAAACCCAGAAAATTTTTCAAAATTGATGATTGGACAACTGCCTTTCTACGATTTGTAGCTGTTTATTCGAAAAAATTTCCATATTTAACAGCTGCACTGATGAAATATGCCGAAATAGTCAGGAATATAGCAACCTGTCGACAAGGACTGGCGTGGCAAACTTATGACACGCAGTTCCGATTACTGGAATCCCAGATGGGCATGCCTTGGGATACGATGCATTACGAACTTTGGTTAAAAGCATGCACCGATCCACCTCCTTACGTACATTCAAATCCCCGGCCCTTTCGTTCAGAATTCTCATTAAATAGACACTGGAAAAAACCTAAACCTTCCCAACCCTTGTCAAAGTTTTGGCCAAATACATGCTGGCCTTACAATAGACAAGACTGCAGATCAACTAACTGCACATTACCCCATGTCTGTGGTTTCTGTAAAGGTACCCGTCATGCAAGTCAGTCCCAATATCGAAACAGATCGCATGCAGCTCAATCCCTCCTCGGCCAAAACCAAGGGAAACAATCCAATTCACCAAACCACAGTCTGTCAAATATGTACAAAAACAAGCTTCCAACACCCATTAAAATTCGACCCCTCATTTCCTTACAACAGGGTAATAGTGACATGAACTAGATAAAAAATGGTTTCCAAAAGGGGGTTCATTTAGGTTATATAGGCGATAGGTCAGCATGCGATATTAGAAATTTGAAATCTTGCATGGAATATCCAGAAATTGTAGAAAGAAAACTGGAAGCCGAGAAAAAGCATCACATAATTGTTGGTCCATTTGAAGTATCTCCCTTCGATAATTTAAAAATTAGCCCAATAGGAGTTGTTGAAAAGAAAACACCAGGTCAATACCGTCTTATTCATCATTTAAGTTACCCAACAGGTTTCTCAGTAAACGATTTTATAGATCCTTCGTTATCAACAGTAAGTTACACATCATTTGATGATGCAGTCAACCTCCTCATTAAGTTGGGCCCTGGTTCCCTGTTCAGTAAAACAGATATTGCAGATGCCTATAGATTAATACCCATTCATCCGGATGATTATAGCTTGTTAGGCTTCAAATTCAAAGACCAAATTTAATTTGGCAAATGTCTGCCTTTGGGAGCTTCCAGCAGTTGTGCCATTTTCGAACGGTTTAGCTCTAGCCTTGAGTGGATCGCAAAGAAGAAATTGCTAATTCCACATATAATACACATTTTGGATGACTTTCTCATTATGGGCCCTCAAAAGACAAATACATGTAAGCTCCATTTAGATAATTTTTTATCCATGTGTAAATCGATTCGGGTACCAATTTAATCTGAAAAGACCCAACAACCATGTAATGTCATTACATTTATGGGCTTAGAATTAGACTCTGTGCAAATGATGGCCAGACTACCACAAGATAAGCTTATGAAATTAAGACAGTTACTATCAGTTTATATCAATTGTAGGAAAATAACTCTTAAAGACATGCAAAGCTTAATTGGTCTTCTAAACTTCTTTTGCTATGTAGTCACACCAGATGTTTTCTTAGAAGATTAATTGATCTCACTAAAAAGGTCATTAAACCAAACCATCGCATTACACTTAATGCTGAAAGCCGAAAAGATATTAAAGCTTGGCAAATATTTGTGGAATAATTAATGGAAAAAAATTACTGCTAGATGGAAAATGGTTGACAGATGAACAATTAAGTTTGTTCACTGATGCATCCGGAAGTTTGGGGTTTGGAGCAATATTTGGCAACATTGGTTCTATAATTTTTGGCCTGAAAGTCTATCAAATATGGCCATTACCTATAAAGAAATGTTCCCTGTAGTAATAGCCATTGAAGTTTCGGGGGCAAATGTTATGCCATAAATGCCTTGTTCTTCATTTTGATAATGAAGCTGTTGTATATATTTTAAATAAACAAACTTCCAAAAACCCCTTAGTAATGCATTTAGTTAGACGCTTTGTATTACTTTGTATGAAATATTATATTCTCATTAAAGCTGTCCATATCAGTGGTAAATTGAATTATCTCTCTGGTCTTTTATCACGTTTACAGATAAACCAGTTCAAAACAGTGGCACAACAGCACATGGATCCGGATCCCACAGACGTGTCCGATCTCATTTAGACCAAACGGTTCTAGACCTCTTGAATAATTCTTTGTCAATTTCAACCAAGCACTCATATGAGCATTCATTAAAACA